AACCGATAGCTTTGTGCTAAAGAATTGTGTCTATTTTAAGCTACCCCGTTAACGCTATTTGAACTGTTCTTGTGAGGCAATGCTGCCCTCCCCTGGTGTGCTGAGGAAAGTAGGATTATTTTTATCCCGGGCAAAATTCCTGTTTCTATTCAAGCAAAATTGCTGGATTGGTGAAAACAGTGGAAAAATGCTCCTAAAAAGGCCATTATATTCCTTACTTCCCACATATGACTCTAGTAAAGTGTGTGTGGAGGGGTTTGGGTTTTTGTTTGGTTTTAAGGTATAAAATATCCCCTTTTTATAATGAAGGTTTTTCTAATTGCTGATCAACTTATAAAACACACGACTTTGCTTCCTGTGGCATGTAACCTGACTTCCATTTTGTCTGCTCCTCATCCCTCTTAATGCACTGGAGATCACTTAACACTAAAGGAAACTGGAGAGTTTGTTAAAATCTGGTTCGTATGTTCCTTCATGTCTTAGATGTGAGCAAACAGCCAGATGCAAGATCAGGAGGGAAGTCTTTTTCCCTCCAAACTGGTTTCCTTGAGGACTTTGCTTGAGTGTGTGTTCTTGTCTACTACTTAGGGTCAGGTCACTTGGGAGATGTTTTAAAAACTGTGGAATATAATGAATTTCCCAACCTGGCATGCTTTGGTCCAGCAGCATGTTAGAGTGGTGGTGGCTGTTGATATTTTACTACTACCTTTTTTAATAAGCCTCTAGGAGTTGCTTCATGTCTGTGGTGCCTGCCACTCCACAGAGCTGGTGTAGACTACTTTGAATTAGATCTTAACTACTCAGTTATGTGTGACTGTGGGAGATGGGACCTGAAGATCACAGACTTCAGTTTCCAAAGTGAATTTGCAAAACAATAATAAGTACCCTCATGCACATGAGCTAGCAGGCTGTAATAAGCAATCCTTTTGAGAGCTAGCTGTAAAACTACTGCAGATACGGCTCCACGATAGTTAAAAGTCAGTTAAATCAACACCAAGACACCTTGTTTAGCCTTTCCCTTTGTGACACCCTGCCACAGCAAAACCAGTTCTATATGCTGTTCTTTTTCGTTAGAGTAGTATTCTGACAGTGTAGCATCCCAGCTCAGCTCATGAAATAGTTATGTGAATAGTCGCTCCTTAACCTAGAATAAAGGTATGAGGTCTAAGACTATGTGACAGTGTTGTTTTTCTTCTCCATAACTTCTGCAGGTGTTGGGACTGCTGGTGTGGACCCTGATTGCTGGAACAGAATACTTTCTATATCCAGCTTTTGGCTGGGTGATGTTTGTAGCTGTGTTTTACTGGGTTCTCACAGTCTTCTTTCTGATCATCTACATGACAATGACCTACACCAGGATCCCCCAGGTGCCATGGACCACGGTGGTAAATACATGCATTCTTTGTTGTTTCAGGTTTGATGAGTTATGAAGAGAATAAAATATTGATGCATTCTGTACATGTAGTTAACCAACTGTATTTGTGCCTTTTGCAGATTTTTTCTAATTACTGTGTGTCTGCATATCTGCACTGTTTAACCTTCATACTACCCAGACACTTCTAAAATACTTTTCCTATAATTCACCATTTTGCTCAGCAGTTGATGTAGTGACTTGATTTTTAATAATGTGTGTATGACTGATAGTTATGCACAGTAGCCTCTTTTTCTCCCTGTAGTGATTACATCCCATGAAAAATTAGTCTGTTGCTGCCTTTGAGCTAACAAACCTGGCCATATGGCTTAAACGGCAGAAATCCCTACTTGAATCAACACCATGAGTTGGAAGTGGGGCCCCGGCTCTTAAAACATGAGTTTCTCTCTGCTGAAGTAAAAGGTCATTCACAGGTAGCATCAGTCTGACAGGCTATGTATAGCTTGCTGTGAAAATGGTGCTGAAAATCAGTGTTGTGTATGTGTAAAATACATACCATGTAATCCTTTGCTTTTAGCACAAGACTTAATGCAAATCAGATAAACAACTAATGTAATTACAGAAAAATTTCACAGGCACTTAAAATTCAGATCCAATTTTTGTGATTTCAACAAACTTGGCTAGCTGTACCTCTCAACAGTGTATTTTTACATTATTTTCCTAACAGGCTGGTGTTTAGGGTAATAGATCCTAAAAGTCATTGTCATCTCGGCCAAGCGGCTGTTTGTGACCCATCCAAGAATTATATATTTTAGCTTTGCATTTGTCTGATACAATGAGATTTTTTTTCCCACTAAGGATTATTTACTGGAATTCAGTTATTTTTATAATAAAATATATTTGACTTTTGTGTTGCAAACAGCTTGTTATCAGCTGTATTGTGTATGTGACTAAAATTGATTACTCTTCTTCTGGTTTTCACCTCCCCATTTGCTGCTGTAATAAATAGCCAGCTATAGCCATTACTAATAAGAACAACCAGGAATATGTTCAGATAGCTTCTCCGTTTCATGACCAGCAATTACCATTAAGGCTATAACACTGCTATAGAAATGTTGGATTATTTCAATTACAGCTGTAATGTGTCTGGGTACATTTAAAGGTGTGGGTGGTTTGGTTTGTTGTTTTTTTTTTTTCCTGTTGCATTAGATGTAAGTAAAGTACATTCAAACAGAAAGCATCTCTGTATCCATTTGGATGTGGCTTTAGTCATTACCCCTCTTTCATCAGTTTAACACTATTATCAGACAACAGCTGCACATAAATGAGTTGCCCCTGACCTGTATGGTAGACAAGCTGGAGTATTTGATTTGTTTCTGCTTCATTTAGAGTCTGTTTCTTGCTCTGAGTTCCAAACATTGTAGATAAGATCACATAAATGTAGCTCCAAAAGGTAGTCCCCTTTTAGAGGAAAGGGTAATATGAGGAGAAAATAAAAGCAAAATAAATAAAAGATGCTTGCATCCCAGCTTCTTTTGCCCTGAAGTATTAAAAGAGCTGTTTGGAACAGCCTTTGAATTGGACCTCTTCCACCCCTGATTGGCCAAGAGGAATGTTGAGTGTCTTGCCAGAGAGATGTTACATTTTTGTTCAAGAAACACACCTTTTTGACACGCCCACCTTCCCCCTATTCTCTGAAGTATCCTGAATTTCAGTCTCTGCTAGTTATTGCTCTGCCTCCTTAGGGTGACAGTTAGCTCAAACTGTGCCTATAGCATGCAGTATCCAAAATTACATCTGGACTTCTGTGTTATAAATCCCCTTTTTGCAGGTTAAACGCATTACCAAATTGCTAAAGATGCAGTTACTTTTACTGCAAATTAACCCAAAGGATGTACTTCAAAACTGACTCTCCTTAATGGTGCAAGTTCTTTGCTAAAACAATCAATGCAAGCTTTTAAAATCTGGTGAATTTGAATTTAAGAAGCAGATGGCAATTTAGCACGAACCATTTGGTTTGAGTAATATATTGGCAGTAAACGCCCAATCAGCTTGCATTGCATTCCATCTTCCCCTACAGTGTTATTTCCCAGAGCAGCACTTCTCAAAAATTATGTCCTTTTTTCTTTTCTACATGACAAGATATTGCAGGGATTTGTAGCTTTCCAGGGTAATTGAGTCTTTTTGGAAAGGGAAATCTAAAAATAACAACAAATACTCTAGGCAATCAAATTTGGAGTTTTAATCAGTGCTTTACAGAAGTTCACCTGAACCTGCCAATTGTTGGCATCCTATGCTAAAGTTGATAGTTTCATATTTTATTGCTGTAATGGCTAGGTAAAATGAGAGGTAAGATCTGTGGATAGAGACAATACCTTTTATTAGATAACTGCTATAGGTGAGAGAAACCCCACTCCTTTGTAAGTGTATGAATCAAACCTCAAGTGCCAGGCCTTGGACTCCATCTGAGTGCTCAGTCTCTGCCTGCAGTTCTCTGCAGAAAGGTGGGTAAGTGGTTCTTTTCCAAATGGCCTGAAGTTGCAAGGACTTAGGAGCTACAGGACTGCCTGCCCTTCAGCCTGCTCTGAAAACTATAAGGAGGCGTTTTGCCTGGCAAGTCTGATATTGGCAGTGGTGACCTGCAGGTTGACACGTTGACAGATAAACAGCACAGCACGCTGCTCTCTGGAGGGGCCTGCAGTCCAGAAAGCTCCTGTTAGGGGAATGGCTTCCCTTCAGAAAGCTTGGGACCCTGAGTGTCACAGGAGCAGCAGGTCAGACTCCACTGAGTCTTTAAGTATATGCCAGAACCAAATGTCCTGAGATGGATGCAAGGAATTTCCCTACCAACCACTTCACACTGTTGATCCATGATTTGGTGCACTGAGGGAGGGAGTTGCTGATGTGAATACATCTCCTGTTGCTGCCTTCTGAACTTCTCTTCCTGGGCTGCAGCTCTTTTTTTAGATTTTGCCAGAGTTGGTGGCTAGGCAATTCAATAGTAAATATCTGGCATGTATTCCTAGCATCCACTAGATCACACCAAAGAAATCATAAGTTGTAGCTGCCCCAGTATGGTAACATTTAGAGACAACTGGAGCAACAAGAGTTAAGGGTTATGAAATTTATGTGACACTCTGGAGTGTGAACGTGGGGACAGAAGCTGAAAGGAACAAATCACGTGCAACATAAGACCTGGTCTAAATTACTAAGTTACTAATTTTTGCAGTTGTAACTAGGTGCGAAGTGTATCTCAGGTATTCCATTTAAACATGACAACAGTGAAATAAAACATACTTTTATTGCCAAATTCATATGCCTTAGACAAGTAGCAGGGTGGAGTTTGGGGGAATGTTTTTGAAAAATAAGAATAAACTTCCTAAAGCCACACCAAGTAACGAGTAAAAAGACAGTATGAAATATATGAACTTAGAAAAAACTTTTCATACCTCCTTATCTGTCTTTCGTCTTCTCAAATTTCTGTTTTATCTTCCTTTCCTGTTCTCTCTAACATGCAAAACCCAAACAAACTCTTCCTGTTTGTCATGTGAGATAAATTTATCTGCTTTGCTTCTTTCTTAGTAATGAACATAGATACTCTGAGACCTTCACTCTGCTCGTTGGAAAAGAAAATGCAGCATCTGCCATGGATGGGTCTTAATGGCCCAGCTAGTCCATTTAGGCCATTTATTTCTGTTCTCAAAAACAGGCAGAAGGGAAAGGTACTGAAAGGTGGACAAATACAACTGAAGAAAAATTGCATCCTCTTTATCTCCTTCGAAAGTGGAGAAAACCAAAGTTTTGGATGCTTTATAAATGTTCTTCTTATGTCACAAGTCGTTGATTCCAACAGTGTATTTTTGTGTAAATTAGAAATGTAATAAAATTGCAGTTGGTTTGTTTGTTTTAGTGTATTATCATATTCTTGCTGCCTAATACTTAGATTGTGACAACCAATGTCCTTATTTTCACATTTGGAAAATCACAGCACACCAGCTCCAAGATGCTTCTGGATTTAGTGTGATGGAGAGAACAGTTTGTCCAAAATGTGCTTTAATGTTTATGGAACTTTCAAAATAAGCAGTTAAATTTTAATCTGACAGATAGCAACTTGGAAGTAAGTAAAAATCGTTACAAAACACATTTTTTGTGTACATTACATGCATACAGTATTTTTCAGAGGAGAGTTTTGTTATGCTGGAATAGAAAATGGTATCAAATGCATGTGCATATTAACTACTTACATTATTTCATTTTTCAACAGGGTCTGTGTTTTAATGGAAGTGCCTTCATTTTGTACCTCATTGCTGCCATTGTAGATGCATCTTCAGTTACCAAAGAACTGGACAGTCACAATTACAACAGCTGGGCAGCTTCTTCAGTAAGTTTATTTTTTTTTTTTTTTTGTTAAAATCGGTTCTATCCAGAAAAAGTTATATCAAAAGAGGGCTTGCTGGAACTGCAGGTTGAAATGTCTGCATTCTGCTTTTCAAAAAGCTTCAGACTTGTAGAAGCTCACACACAAAATCTACAAGTATTTAGTCCGTAGTTTTTGGAGGTGACTGGAAATTCCACCAAGAGATGACAGTTGCATCAGAAAATGCTGTAATTTTTTAAGATCATACTGCTTTCCTTTCCTGTGCCCCCATTTATTACTAGCTCTCTGGCATAGGTTGTAGCCTGAACATCAGTCTAGACAAAACAGACTGGGTGAGCACTAAGTCACCTCAGCATACCTGGACAACTTCAAAAGCAGTGTAAACTAACTCAACTAACGTTGCATGCGTGTCAATAAGGTGTATTTAGCTTTTTTGTGGGCTGAGCCATAAGCACAGCACCTTTGGGAAGGTCCACTGTATTGCTGTTTCTACAGTGTTCCTGTTAAGGCTTCAACTTGTGATAATCTTCCTTCTAATTTGGGTAGGCAATGCTATGTCACTTCCCAATGTTTTAAAGTGGATGCAAATCATTAATTAGTCTGCCATTACCTTCTTACTACTTACATTCAACCAACGTGGGTGAGAAAGTCTTGATTTGTTGTTTGTTTTGTTGTTTGTTTTTTTTCTACAAAGAGCCTTGTCACTTTCTGAGTAGGTGAACACATTCTCTGGCTTAGTTAAGGGAGTTGTAAGTGAAGTCTTTTCATGTTGTGGCAAGAGTAGTGAAACTCAGATTTTTTAAAGTAATTATGAATTACAGCTGAATTACTGCTGTTGTCCCCTCTGGACTATTCACAAATCATGTCTTCTTTCTGAAGCTTACTGTAAATGGCCATGAACATAGAGACTTGAACATGTGCTCTGTCTTTTTTTTGTCTTGGGAATTGGGTAACTACATCCCTGTCACTTCATGGGTGTTCAGGATCTTCTTTTCTTGGCAGGTCTTAACTATTGATCTGTTATTCAGCCACTGCTGTTGACAGGAATTTGCTTGCTGCTAGATAAACTTCCTTGCCAATTGAGGTTTTATGCAAAATGCATGACTGCTCAGTGTCTCATGGGGTGTTTGGAATCTCTTCTAATACCTCCTAATATGTTTTTCTAATGCACTGTCTAAATAAACTATTAAATGTAGATTCTTGCTTTCTGGACCCATTAAGGTTTTCATGGATCGGTGTTTGTGAGAATTTAGCAAATCTTCTATCCCTAACAGTCATTCTCTGTTAGAAAGATTCTAGAGGGAGCTTTTATTTCATAAGAAACAAAATTACTGGAGAAGAAGAATGACACAATTTTCTACTGTAATCATATTTTACCTCATCATCTACGATTTTTGCTGTCGCAGATTAAATTAGGCAGGACTCACCAAGATGTTGGAGGGTTTAGATTTACTGCCGGTATGCTTGCTTAGTAGTGCCCTGCCCTTAGAGCTGAAGTGCCTACCCGGGCCAATGATGGTATGTGAGCAAGATATCATAGAATCATAGAATAGAATAGAAATCATAAAATATTTATGAAAGAATAGAATCATAAAATATTTTTAGGCCAGAAGGGACCTCTGGCGGTCATCTGTTCCAACTCTTTC